AAGAAGAAAAAAAAAAGAAGGACATCGGATCGGAGGTGTAATAGAGACGGTTCTAAACACATACAGTATCTTAAATGCTAATAGAGGTCTTAAATGCTAATATTCTGCCACATACAGAGAGCTCAGTGGAGGCTACATTTTTTTATCTCTTTGGGGATAGATCTAGGTAACGGAGCATAGTTTAAATCTCATACCTTCACAGAGGTATATGATTTAAACTAAGTAGCTTTTACATATCCCCAATGTACCCCATCAAAAGCTTTTTCGGCATCTAGCGATAACAAGAGGGTTGGGGTCTTATTAGGTTCCGCGTGTCTCAGGATGTTAAAACAGTCTCCTATTGCCATCAGGGGCCTGGCAATCTTTCACGAAACCCACTTGATCCGGGTGCACAAGCACTGGGAGTAGGGGTAGTAGTCTATTGGCCATCACTTTAGGCATAACTTTTCCCCCTTTAGGTACGGGTACAATTGTGCTCTGAAGCATCTCCTTCGGAAGGGAACCTGTGGTCATGGCTCGGTTAAAAAGTGCTGTCAAATGCGGAGCGAACGTATAATGAAAGGTTGCAAAGCATTAATTAGGAAAGCCATCTATGCCTGGTGACTTATTATGGGAAAGTGAAAGCAAGGTCCTCTGAACTTTTCCGGAGATTGTACGGATGTCAGGGAAGGAAGTGAGAGCTTGTCTAAGAAGTTTGTGATTAGTTCATAAGTTGGTTGAGTGGTAGTTATACTTTTTTTAGGTTATATATGGATTCATAGAAACCTCAAAAAATATCTGAAACTTTCTTAGGCAAGAATATACGTGTTAAGTCTCCATAGAAAATCCTTATTGGCATAGAAAGCGCCCGACACAGTCAATTCTACTGGAGCATGATCAGACCATGTGAGCGTGTCAATCTTAGCATTGTTAAACACGGATAAGAAGCTTTTGTTGGTTAACCTCTTGCCGTCCGCCCGTAGTAAAAAAACGGACGGACGGCACTGCTGCATCTGCGGGTTGCCGTCTCCAGACGGCAATTTTTTTCTGCTCGCGCGCGCCCCCTAGCGGGCACGCACGGGCAGAAAAGACCCGATCAATCACCAAAAGAAAGCTCTATCTGTCCCCAAAAAAGGGTATAAAATTCATTTCAGTACAGCGCTGCATGACGGAATAAATGTCAGTTAAAGTACCGCAGCGCTGAATACTGAAAAATGGCCTGGATGGGAAGGGGGTTTAACACCGCGGATGTCAACTGGTTAAAAACAGATCAATTCTCGTATACGGAGTTAAGGTGCCCACACACCTTGCGATAATCGTACGATAATCGCAGGAAATCCCGCCCCATGTGCTCTGTCTTGGAGCACATGGGGCAGAATATAAAATTGGGCTTCCTCATGACAAACCTGCACCCAAATTTTATCTTTTGCCCCATGTGCTCCGAGAAGGAGACTGATAGTTTAGACTCTGAAGGAGTCATGACACACCTGCACCCAAATTTTAGCTTTTGCCCCATGTGCTCCGAGAAGGAGACTGATAGCTGAATCGCAGACTCAGTCTCTGCTGTAGGCATGGCATGTGAAGAGGCATCATGCTCATCCCCCCTCCCCTCTCCATGTGCTTCCCCTTTAGAGCGCTTGGTTTTGGCTGGGCTTCTTGTGGTGGGGGAGTCAGGGGGAGAGGACTCACCAGCAGTGATGGTTGCCCGTTCTTGCTGCGGCGTTCTCCCGTGAGGAGGGTCCTTCCCTGGAGACCTGGCACATGTGTCTTGGTTGTCAGGCGAGTGATGTGCGGGGAAGAAGTCGGTCAATTTACGTGGGGAGCCTAGTTTCTTCCCCCTCTTGGGCATCGCTGAGTCACCCGGTTCCTGGCTCATTGGGTAGAGGGCTGAGAGAGCCTTCCTGTCGTCACTGAGGTGTCGCTATGTGCGCTTAGAAGTGCAGCTGACTCAAGAAGCGGCCATCACGATCGGCAGTTGGCCACCCCCACCCCGACTTCATAATATTGAAATGCAGTAATCAAAAGCAAAGATAGACACACTTAAGACAAATAAATGCACAATCATTTCCAGAATAATATATGCCGCAAATCACCAGAACAGTGAGTACACAGGGTATTTTGTTTCTGGTTAGATGAGAGACCTGGTTAGTTAAATTCCGGATAACAGAGAGTTTACTGTGCTAAATAGGATTCTCTAAAAAAAAAAAAAATAGAGCACCAGTGCAATTCTGTAGTAGCTATATATTGCAAATAAATCTAATAACCTGTGTTGTGATACACCTCTTTCCCAAAGAAATCGGCTATATATTGGTGCAATATTTTAGATAGAATTCTATAACCATATGTGCAAACTTTTAATATTTAGACTTCTATAAACAATGCAGTTAGAGAAAAAAACCTACCATGTAAGAAGAATACAGCTACATATGTAGCTTCTAAAAAAAAATTTTTTTCAACACAGCACTGTGCAACTGAGGTCTCCACTCACACAGAACCAGAAAAATTTCAAACGTTGCATAACTGTAATTTTTAGCTTTCAATTTGAGAATCAACCTCTGAAGAAGCAGAGGTGTGACATGTTAGAGACATTCAACTATTTACTTGTATTGTGCATCCATATCATTAGCATCAAATTCATCCAAATATCTCAATGCTGAGCTTCTATTATGTGAAATCATTATTATTTGTCCTTTATTTGGACCATTTTGTTGACTTTTTTCCCTCACCATAATGGCATAATTTCCTGTTAACAATAGATGTTAGTGGCTGTAACTGCAACTCTCTTGCTTGGGTGTGGTAACAGCACCTTTATTTACGTCATAATTCTACATTCCTGGCCGTTTAGGCCGACATTGCCAGACGTGTAATTTAACCTACCATATGTATGCCTTGCATCACTGCAATGCAAGCAATATCTCCATAAATTTACAGTACAAATCGCCATATACCCACTCATGCACACTGATGTAAATAATGGGATCCCCTGATCCCAAACAGCTGCCATCATTTTGGTGGCAAAATCTGAGCATGCAAGGTAGTAACCCATCTCAGGGGTGTGGAAATGTAAAAAATAAATAAATAACTACTTGTCCTAAGACTAAAGAAGACTAAAGTGGGGGCCCAACCTACTTGTACCTCATGACAATCTACTTGTCGTGATACAAAAAATAATCCTAGCCAAACTGTATTTAACAGTGCTAATTTGCGAGCGAAATTCAGAAAACATGGGCACAGGGCAGCACTGTACAGATAGTACACACCCACACTGGCAGAGGGAAAGGACTGTTCGCCAAAAGGTAAGTATAGCCGGGGTGGGGGCTACCACAATATGGCATAAAGTAGAATGGGGGCAGCACTCGTGTACACACACCCTCCACGCATGCGGTTATTCGTATGTAGATTGCGGGGGCAGTGGGGTTGGTTGTAATTTTTGAAAATGTTATTGACTTAATTGCTTTGTGATCTTTTTAAAATGTATCTTTCAATTTATTTTTTACATTATCACTTTTTGATATTTTTAATTTTCCTTTACTTTTTAAATTATTTGTTATTATTTATTTTATTATACTCTTTTTTTTTCTCGCTTTATTGCTATTACACAGTGATAGCATTCGAAGGCGACAGGTTCTCTTTATGGAACCTGTCGCCTACAATAAAGAAGATCTAGCACGATCTCCTGTGACAGCGGAGACGGGAAGGCTGCAAGTACAGCTCTCCTGTAATAGTGTTCACATGGAGCATAATGGAGAACAAACGTTCTCCGCTCAGCTCCTCGCTCGTCATCCTGAATTTGCCATGGCTCTGGGTTCCCCAGAAGAACAGGGCAGGTAGGGAGGCTGCGTGAGGGAAAGAGCCGGCGGGTGGTGACAGAGGAGGTGGTGCTTACAACTATACAGCCACTCAAGATCACTTATACAAAACAGCTCCCCCTCTACATTAAGCCCGCAGCAGGGCTAAATGAAGAAAAAAGCCGAACCACCCGGAACTGCATGTCCTGGGTGTTGGGTGATAGGAATTCCACACCCCTGCAACTGTACTACCACTACCACACATACACAGGACCCCACTGCCGTATGTATGTTATCAAAATATGGTGACAAGATCCCACACGCAGTAGTAGCAATACAGACTGGCCACTACTGCACAACCTTTCTGGAGCATGGGAGTGAAACTCCCTCCGGTGCGCCCACTGTTATCAGAATGCGCATGCGAGGGAATACAGTATAACGATTTGTTCTGCACATGCACGGGGGATTGCTTGCATTACAACAATGCAATGCACACAAATGGCAGATTAAATCGCACATGCATGGGATAAAGTCTGCCAGGTATTTGTCATTTTGCGCGTCAAAGCACATCCTAATGACGCATGTCTACTCACCATACTGATGGAAGCTACCCTGATGCTATCTTGGAGAAGACTGGGGGGGAAAAGCTAATTTTTCTAAACTAAAATATTTCTATTTTGCACTTGTTCACCCTCACCCAACCAATATACTGCTATTGTTCCCTTTGTGATGTATTCACACTGAAAACTCTCCAAGAAGAAAACTGTGTGTATAACCTCATTCGCACATTATCTTTAGGGGCCCATTGGGGCAGCCAAAATAATTAGACTGCTAAACACAATGAACATCAAACTCAGGTGTGCTACCAGAACACACCAGTATAAAGTGGCCCATAGAAAACTACACAATGCAACAGCTAAGCATACAGCAAGTAGTAATTATAGTCTCATTCAATTGGACTTGCTCTGTAATGCTGAAGTCATTTTGCAGCTAAACCAAGCCACTTCTTCAGTTCTAATTATTAGAAGAGAGAAATAAGTAATTTGGATAAGCTGCAAAACATCTTAAACATTACAGAAGAAGTCCAGTTGAATGTGACTATTAAAAGGGATACCATGGCCTGAAAAAATGAGAACCTTAACAGACAAATAATTGAAATAATCATAACACATATCTGTTCTTTGAAAGAGTAATGCATACACTTTTCTTGCCCGTCTATAAAAAGAAAAATATTTTATATTGCAGCCACCTGTAGGATCTGGTCACCTTCCTTCATCCCCTCGATTGCTGCAGGGCTCCCTTCTTGAACAGCAGCAACAAATATTCCCACATCATTTCCTCCTGCAAGGCGCAGTCCAATGCTTTTCCCTTTTGTGAACTGTATTAAGCGTGCATCTGGGCTATAACTAAAGACAAAAAAGTGAAAATGAAATTAAAGCATTTAAGATGGAATTGTGGAGAAGAAATCCCAACAAGAGCATTGGATGAAATATGTAAAACAGTTAGAAAAACAAACTATGAAGGTAAAAAAAAGGAAAGTGGATATGCTGGAAATCATGTCACATATTAAATCTTAAAAAGTGGATATAAGAGTAGTGTTAAATAGAAGGTTGTGCTTGCAAGATTTTTAACTAAAAATGTATATTTGTATATCTCCTGTTGTGCTGGAAATCTTTATATTAGCATAATGTATGTGTTAACATAGCAATTTTGCTTGCCAAAAAAACACATAGCAGAAAATTGTGCAATATAGCCAAAAACATTTTGTGTTAAAGAACACTTGGTACCCCACTCGTAGATCATCTTTCTGCTTGTCACTGGCTTGCTCAGGCTCTTCCCTGTATTCACTGTGCAGTTGTGGAGATACCCTGGGATCTGACATAACACTGGAATCTGACATAACACAAGAAAGAGAAAAAAAATGAGCACAAACAAAAAAAAGTGAAAAATGGGTGCGTGTTAAGTCTACATGAAAGCCACCTAAAGCATAAACTTAACATTGATTTCTAAAAGTCAGAATTTGTAAATTATTTTCTTTGCAGTATTTCATTTACTACCAAGTATTCTTAGAATAAAAAGTTGTCCAAGATCATTTTCTGAGATTTCTAAATTTTCAGTAAAAATCAGATCTATTTTAGATAGTCTCTGCTCTCTGAATTTGTATGCAGGCTTACAATTTTTGTTCTGTACATCATCGCTCTGTAAGGAGTGTGTTCCATTAAATTCATGACTGAAAAACAAAAGCATAATATCACATAACGGCAAAATAAAATACAATAGGATTTTTTGTACTTCCCATAAAATATTTATTATCCAAGTCACTGAAGGATACAGCACTACACCTGAAGAACTCCAGTATTTGCTGCCAAGTTCAGGGAGAATTTGGACTAGAGCAGGGGCGGGGAACCTCTGGCCCTCCAGCTGTGGTGAAACTACAATTCCCATGAGGCATTGCAAGATTCTTACAGCCACAGGCATGACTCTCAGAGACAGATGCATCATGGGGTTGGTAGTTTCACTACACCTGGAGGGTGGAGGTTCCCCACCCCCTGGACTAGAGTAACAAGAGTTGCCCCCCCAAAAAGTGATTAGCTAACAGCCACTGATAAAGAATAGCCAAGACTGAAACCTGTCCCTTGAAGGTACTCTAGGTGTACCTGCTCACCGCTGACCTACCCCTTGTTGGACAAAAAAGACAGGTTCAGGGATTAAATACCAGAGACTCGCACCCCCAAAAGTAAGACCTACAGATATGATTATACAACTAAGGAGAGGTGGACTTCTGATGCTTAAAGCCACACTGCGGCCAAAATGATAATTTTACACACCAGTTTGGGTGTGTAAATTATCATTAAAAAGCTGGGAGCATAGGGCTGCAGCAAGCATACAAATTACCTTGCAGCACACAAAACCCTGCTTTCGAGCACTGAAGAAAGGGAGAGATGCGCCCTGAGCTGTACAGCACTCCGGTCACATGACCCGCCCCTTCTTCACTTTCCTCTATTCAGAAAAGGTCTTGTATTTCTTAGAAACTATAAGACATTGTGTAAATGGAGGAGGAAGAGGAGGTGAAGGGGAGGGATGTGACATTATCAAGGTGGGCTTTTATGGAGAGGTGAGCTGGCCAGGCTGAGTGGGAGAACGGGGAAAAGAAGTGATAAGGGCTAAAGATCTGGCAGACATCACCACCGACTACAGGGAGAGAAAGATTTGAAGAAGAACTCCAGGTAAAAATGTTAACTGTTGTTAACTGCTCACTTTTTGCCTAGGGCCAAAAATAACAAAGCTATATTCATCTGATCCTGTGAGTAGGCCGGCTGTGGCAGCGCTCCCTCCAGCCTCTCTCCTCCTCCAATGCAGCAATGGCATGTCCCTCAGCGCCCTAAAATCCTATACATGGTTTATGGAACGTGATGATTAACCACTTGAAGGCCAGGGTGTTAAACCCCCCCTTCCTGGCCAGGCCATTTGTCAGTATTCAGTGCTGCAGTATTGTGACCGACATTTATTCCGTCTGTACTGAAACTAATTTTATATAATTTTTTGGGGACAGATAGAGCTTTCTTTTGGTGATATTTAATCACCACTGGGGTTTTTTATTTTTTACTATAACAAAAAAAGTACCCTAAATTTTGGGGGAAAAAACCTGCTTCCCTATGAAATGTTATGAAACATTTATTATCAACCCAATTTTTTTGTAAACATAAAAGATGGGGTCACGTCGGGTAAATAGACAAACATGTCAAGCCTTAAAATTGCGCGCGCCTGCAAAATCGCAGAAAATGACCACACCCAAAATTGGCCATAGGGGACGCTTTAAAAGCTTTTACCGCTCATCAGTTTAGTGTTATCAGTGATTAATGGCCCTAAAATGATTGCTCTCACTCAGACGTTTGCGGCGCTATGTAACATACGGAATGTCCGTTTTCGCACATTGGCGTTTTGGCATGTTTGTGCGTGTATGTGGGGGGCCGGGGAACTTTAAAACATTTTTTGTTTTATTGTAAAAAAAAAAATTTGTGTGACTTTTTTAAGCTTCAATTATTTTTTTTAGGCTTTAATTTTTCTTCAACTTTTTTTTTTTACACTTATTATTGCTATCACATAGGGGGCTAAGAAATCCCTATGCGATAGCCAATTCACATAACAGGTCCTCTTTATGGAGATCAGGGGTCTCCAAGACCCCCAATGTCACCTAGGGATCCCCAGAGAAGCCGCTGAAGCAGAGATCTGCTTCAGCAGCTTCTCTCTGTTGCCGGAGAGTGACACTGAATGCGGAACCCGCACCTACCAAAAGTAATCACTTGAATGTAAACAGCCATCGCTGAGTATAACACTTTCATTTTTGACCCTGGGTAAAAAGAAGCCCCACTGCAATGCTTAATACCAATTTTACATGGGGTTCTTTTTAAGGATTTTCTCTATGGGTGTACCCGTTTCCAAGTTGGTCGGCAACTGTGTTAAAAAGTTCTAAAGATTGCAGGCTACAGGTCAAGGGTATGGCTTTAAACCTGTTTATTTGCCAATGTATACCATTAACTAACAAATATAAAAGAGCAAACGTTAAACCAGAGTGGTTAAATTCTAGAGTGAAAAAATTAATTAGAAAAACTTGGCATTTAAAAAAGTATAAGATGGAAGGGTCATCTAATGTAGTCAGACACTACAAGAAATGTAAAAACAAATGCAAACATGCTATTAGAGCAGTAAAAAAGCTATGAAGAACAAATAGCTAGAGAGAGTACACCCCAAAACATTATATAAATACATAAAAATAGTAACAAAGTAAAGACAGAGCACATAGGCCCCATAAAGCAGGGTAAGCTTGCCACAAGTGACAGAGAAAGCAGGAGGTATTGAACACTTTCTTCTCTTCTGTTTTAACTAAATAAACTGGTATGATAAACAAAGTGCAAAACTATTCTAATAATGGACTAGATGAAGCCCAGTGGCTAACAGAGGCGGAAGTAAAGAAGAGGCTTTAAAAGCTAAACACTAATAATTCTCCGGGACCAGATGGCTTACACCCGCGGGTCCTCAAAGAACTAACAGGGTTACCGTATATACTCGACTATAAGCCGAGTTTTTCAGCCCATTTTTTGTGCTGAAAAGTGCCCCCCCTCGGCTTATACTCGAGTCAGCGTCTCAGTGGTCAGGTTTCTTCTTACTTACCTCGCCGAGCGGCGCGTCACTGCTGCTCCGGTGGGCGGCGCTCTGAGCGGGGTCATCTGGCAGTCTCCGGGTCCTAATTTAGGTGGCCGGAGACTGCCAGATGACCCTGCTCGGAGCGCCGCCCACCGGAGCAGCAGTGACGCGACGCTCGGCGAGGTAAGTAAGAAGAAAAAAAAAAACCCCCGCAGCGGCCAGTCAGGAGCAGGGGAGCAGGGATGAGCCAGCGGCGCACTGGTCAGGCGAGAGGAGCTCCAGGTGGGGTTGTAATTTAGCTGGCAGGCACCTCTAAGTCAGCTAAATTAGGACCCCACCTGGAGCTCCTCCCACTGGACCAGCACGCCGCTGACTCGTCCCTGCTCTCTCCGGCACACGGACACAGTGAGTGAGGGGATATGAGGTATAATCGTAAAATGCGTAAGGGGTATTTCACTACCACAGATCGTTGTATCAGCGGGAAACAAACTGCTTCAAAAAACACTTGGATCAGTTCCTCAGTTCACATAACATACAGGGTTATTGAAATTCCGAACATTATATATACACACAACATATAGGTTGAACCTGATGGACCTGTGTCTTTATTCAACCTCACCTACTATGTAAGGCTGGCCAGAGTTGATTCCCATATCTTTGAAAAAGGATATATATCTTTTGATCCATGAGGTATTTGAGGATACCCATGTGCTCAAATGATAGAGCTGCTGTCTTGGACACCTGAGAGAAGGCTGCATACAATTTAGGATCTTTATTCTTCAGAAGCAAAGAGTCATCACCCAACAGAAATCTTCATTTCATGCTTTTGGAAAAGTGAGGGCTTTATCAATGGTTCAAGCCGTTCTTTACTTATAGAATGTGTGAGCACTATATGAACTGGAATGACTCAACCTTTCTCTTCCTTAAGGCCCTAATATATCTGGTGTTGTAAGGCCATGGTGTTGTAAGTAACACTTTCGTCTTGAATGTCCATAAAAAAGGCCTGAACTACCTCCTCCAAAGTAGAATTGGCATGGGTGTCACAATGCTTTCTATGAGAAG